TTTTTTTTTTTTTTGCAACAGTCTTCTACAACTTATTTGATCTCAACTGTACTGTCTAAGTTGAAAAATTTTTTAAAATAACCAAAAAGCCTTTTTCAGTTACTTATCAACTTAAGACGCTAAGCAGCACATACGCTAATGTCTCCTGGATGATTTCGTGCTGCAGGTTTTCGTCTAAATAAGCTGTATGGTATTTTCTCATCCAGGATCAGCTTCGTTAAATCTGCAAATTGTGCCGAAACATTAGTGTTATTATTTTACAAAAAATCCTATAAAGATTAAACTTTAACCACGGTAAATAAATTTTTGAGAAACTCTAAATTAACACCTAATTCATATCAATTTCTTTTAGTTTCTATTCAGTTTGTCTTTTATCTCTGTTACAAAATAGTGCATGATAGAGTTGCTATGCTTCTGTTCAACTTGACAGCTGGCTTGTAACATCTGTTTTTCTATAAACTTCAAAAAAACGAAACAAAATAGTTCTTTTGCTAAACATTTCCAAATAGTCATCTTTTTTGTCGATTGGTTGAGTAAAATAAAAAGTGCTTTACTAGGAGCATTTAGAAAAGGAGCAGATGCAGTTTTCAGTGCCGTTTCTTCGTTTAAATTGTCGGTAACTGGTTCGACAACCCGCTCAACTGCAGCGTTTGCACTCTTAGCCTTCCAGGGAAACTGATCGTTCAGAATATCTTCAGTCATTCGGACACTTGCTTCTCCATAATCATAGTCGCCTACGTACACAATTTTTCCTTCTCCTTCTGAATACATAGTAGATTAGCTAATGACAAATTTACTGTAATATTATAAATGCCATGAAAAGGTTGTACTTTCTTTAAAACACTATTTGGTTGAAAGACAGCTTTAATTTTTTTACACATAAAACATTTGCATAACTTTAGATGAAAAGTTTAAACAATCAAATAATGTTTGAAAAAATAATCCTTGTGGTCAAGACACCACTATGAAGAGCTTTTTTTTGGACATTGTCAAGTTTAGTTCTACGCGTTTTCTTTGAAACATTTATTGTTTAAAACAGCAAAACACCGGTTCTTATAGAAAAGTTTTTTTTCAATTAGAAAACTTATAAATTGGCACAAAACAACAAATGCTAAAAAACTGACACACTTTTTATTAAAAAATGTATTAGTGACCTGTCCTCTTTCAGAAATACCTATGTTTAAATCCAAAATTTAGGTGAGGCTAGTATAAAATAGTGTTCTAGTGGTTTGCTAAACTAATGTAGCTTCAAACTACATTACTTTAGCAAACTACTAGAACAGTATTTTATAATCCATCTAATAGACAACCCATTTCATAACTTTAAACAAATGAAAAACAACTCATATAAAGATGTGAACTAACTGCCCCATAAATCCAAATTTACCTTCATTTAAGTCTTCTTTGTTGTCAGGTTTACTGGTAACGTAGTTAGGTGTTAGCTGAAAAGTTGCTGTTTCACCAACGTGCTCAGTGGTCATATCTTCATACGGAGGACCGGTATCAATTTCTGCAACCTCTTTTCCTTTTTTTTTGAAAATTAATTTAACAAGGAAATTTTCTAAGATTATCAAACCCGTAACTTGAGCACGAGAATTTGATCACTGCAGAAACAGAATTACAATTGACCATAAATTTTTAGAAGGAAATAACGCAAAATTTTTACGTTTACTAATCTAGAAAGGTAAAATTTGAAATGCAGTCTCGCATTTTATCCAAATTTATCTAAACCTAGTTTTTAAAATGACTTTTAGAAGTAAAATAGTAATTCCGTGCTCGACTAATTTAATAAAACAATAAAACTGCGAAAAAACCATAAGCTATTGTTGCAGGTGATACTGGTATTGCAGCACTCGGTTGTGGCCCACGTACACCTTTATAGGCTGTCGATTCAGCTACATCCACTGGCTGCATCGCCTGCAGATACTGAAATGATTGCTGGACTGGCTGAATATACCCAAAAACCGGTGGACTGTTTTGACAGTTGGTGGTTGGATAAAGTAATAATGGATAGTTTCCGATAGTA